ATCTAATATATTATTTCATCAATTGAAGTTATTAAAATTTTATAATTTGGTTGATTATAGGATTTTGCTGATTATGTATTAGGCTCATAAAAACACAGTACCTTTGAATAATATTCAATCTGATTTCATCAAGACGGAAAGTATTTATAATCTTAAAAGATTTTAAATGTTTGTTAAACTTAAAATTCAAACTAACTTGAAAGAAAGACGTACTTCAGTTCAAGGAATAAAGTTGTGGAACAACAGCTAATGATTATAAAAATGCTGGTTTGATTAAGTTATTTAGAAGATTGGTAAAATCTGACTTGTTGACAAAATTATGAAAACATATAATAATCATTCATATAAGCTGCTGTTTGTATATCTGCAACTATTTTTATTTCTTCTTTTCTTTTTGCTGATGGTTAGAGTATGAATTCTTCATATGTATGAATGTAGGGGGTGTATGTAATATACAGTATATATTTTCTTGTTAAATGGGGGCAGACGTAAGATTTTTTCATCTTTCTGCTCCTTTTCATTTTTCATTTTAATGACATTGTGTTTGTTTGATGGTTGAATTTTGTTTTGTTTTAATTAATTAAATGAAATAAACTTAAAAAAACTGAAACAAGAAACTCGGGTCAGATCCTGAGAACTGGATCTTCTGCTTTTGTGCAGTTTTGTCCTGGTTTTTGTCTCTGGGATTTTGTTTCCAATGGATTAAGCTAAGCCTAGCTGAGGTTGGTTCTGGATCTGTCGATGCCCCCACTGTTTGGACCAGAACCAGGTAAAGTGTTTTCTTCCCCGCTGACCTTTGACCTCTGGTGTTGTAGCTCCGCCTCGCAGCAGCGAGAGACTGATGCCTCAGTGGCTGACAGGAATCATCGCCGTCAGCAGTTTCCTCCTCATCGTCTTCATCGGCTTTGTGGTGAAGAAGATGTGGTGCGAGAAGTCCAGCGGGTCAGTACCCCCTCTTCATCTTCCTCCTCGTTATCAGTTCAGTCAGATGATCGATCCAGWCTGATCCAGAACCAAACAGAACTGAAGCAGAACCTTTACTCTCTGACGGTTTTTGTCTTCAGGATGAAACAGAACCAAGAGTCGATGAGAAGCAACGTGCACGAGGACGGAAACGTGTACGACACCAATATGGACAGCCTGCGGCGGTAACCACAGGACCCTCAACAACAACAACAACAAAACAATAAAACAACAACAACCAAAGCTTATTTAATTTCCATTTTCAAACTAAATGAAAGTTAATTTGCAGATTGAGTTTCAACAATTCTGTTAACTATAAACTTAAACACTAATCCTGTAATTAAAGACAAAAATAACATTTGAATTAACATTTTTCAGAAAATGGTACCACAGAGTGTACCACATTCTTTGTCACAGATTGCACTACATTTTGTACCAAAGACTGTACCCAGATGAGACCACTCCTAGTCTGTAAGGTTTACCCAAAATTCACAAACAGGATGTACCAGTAAGACCTAATGTTAGCATGATCAACTCTGTCACTTACAATGTTTCCAAATATCTGGCGCCAGTACTTGGTCCTTTAGTTGGCAGTTCAGAACATCACATACAGRAMACYATGGACTTTGGAGACAGATGAAACTATGGTCTCCTTTGAYGTCACATCACTCTTTACGTGCGCTCCTGCTGAAGAAGTGGTGGATGTGGTCTGTCCGTCCATCTTCTTCCTCTTACCTAGGTTCAGGTCTCGGGGGCAGCAGCCTCAGCAGAGACCCAGACTTGCCTCTCTCCAGCCACTTGGACCAGCTCCTCTGGGGGAATCCCAAGGTGTTCCCAGACCAGCTGAGAAACATAGTCCCTCCAGCGTGTCCTGGGTCTTCCTCTGGGTCTCCTCCCAGTGGGACGTGTCCAGAACACCTGACCAGGGAGGAGTCCAGGAGGCGTCCTAACCAGATGAACCACCTCAACTGGCTCCTCTGGACATGGAGGAGCAGCAGCTCTACTCTGAGTCCCTCCTGGATGACCGAGCTTCTCAGCCTATCTCTAAGGGAGAGCCCAGACACCCTGCAGAGGAAACTCATTTCAGCTGCTTGTATCTGTGATCTCCTTCTTTCAGTCACTACCCAAAGCTCCTGACCATAGATGAGGGTAGGAATGTAGACCCACTGGTAAACTGAGAGCTTCACCTTCTGGCTCAGCTCTCTTCACCACGACAGACCGGTACAACACCCACATCACTGCAGACACAGCACCAACCCACCTGCTGATCTCCTGCTCCATTCTTCACTCATTCATGAACAAGACCCTGAGATACTTAAACCCCTCCACTTGTGGCAGGACCTCCTCCCCGACCCGGAGAAGGCACCCTATCGATTTCCGGCTCAAGACCAYGGTCTGGGATTTGGAGGCACTGATCCTCATCCCAGCCACTTCACACTCAGCTGTGAACGGCTCCAGTGAGAGCTGGAGATCAGGATCTGATGAAGCCAATAGGACCACATCATCCACAAAAAGCAGAGATGTGATCCTAAGGTCACAAAAAAAGGATCTCAACACCTTGGCTGCTCCTAGAAATTCTGTCCATAAAAGTTATGAACAGAATCAGTGACAAAGAGCAACCTTGGYGGAGTCCAACTCTCACTGGAAACGAGTCMGACTTACTACCAGCAATGCAYACCAAGCTCTGGCACCGGTCCTACAGGGACCTAACAGCCTGTATCAATGGGCCTGGTGCCCCATACTCCTGGAGTACCCCCCACAGGAGTCCCTGAGGGACATGGTCGAACATCTTCTCCAAGTCCACAAAACCCATGTAGACTTGTTGAACTCCCATGAACCCTCCAGGACCCTGCTGAGGGTGTAGAGCTGGTCCACTGGTCCACGACCAGGACCAAAACCACACTGCTCTTCATGAATCTGAGATTCGACTATCTGACGGACGCTCCTCTCCAGGACCCCTGAATAGACCTTACCAGGGAGGCTCAGAAGTGTGATACCCCTATAGTTGGAACACACTCTGCAGTGCCCCCTTTTTTAAATAGGGGAGCCACCAGCCCGGTCTGCCAATCCAGGCGAACTGTCCCGGATGTCCACACGAAATTGTAGAGTCGCATCAACCAACGCAACCCCACAACATCCAGAGCCTTAAGGAACTCTGGGCGAATCTCATAGACTCCCGGCACCTTGCCACCGAGGAGCTTTTTAATCTTTTTAAAAAGCTCCTCGGATGTGGTCTGTGTAAGATTAAAATCAGACACCACTCTCAGCAGCAGAACCACTCTTTCCACAGAAGAACTGTGCCAACTCCTGAAACTGTGCCTGCAGTCAACCTACTTCATATGTGGGGTGCAATACTGTAGACCAGGGATAGTCAATTCTGGTCCTCGAGGTCTGCAGCCCTGCAAGTTTTACTTGTTTCTCTGCTCCAACACACCTGATTTGAATGAATAGATGATTTTCAGGCTTCTGCAGAACTTGGAAGATGTAATTCACTGACTGGATCAGGTGTGTTAGAGAAGGGAAAAAAGTAAAGCATGCAGGGCTGCAGACATCATGGATCAGGATTGACTATTCCTGATATAGGCAAAAACATGGGTGTGCCATGGGATCCCCAGTTTCTCCTATTGTTGCAAACCTGTACATGGAGGTGGTAGAAAACACAGCTCTGATGTCCTTTTCAGGGRYRCCACCRAGCCATTGGTTCAGATATGTTGACGACACCTGGGTTAAAATTAAAGCCCAGGAAGTCCAACATTTCACTGATCACATCAACTCTGGATAAATATATATAGCTCCCACGAGAGGATGTAAAAGATGGCAGGTTGGCGTTCCTGGACTGTGAGGTCTCAGTTTCAGATGGAGAACAGTTAGAAACTGGCATGTATCGTAAGCCCACCCACACAGACCAATATTTGCGTTTTGACTCCCACCACC